AAACTGGAATCTTTTGTGCCTTAACATCGCATTAAAAAAAAACTGGGTGCAATGTTCAGAAAACCAACCAGGATATAAACGGTGCCAAAGAGTTGAAACTTACATTTTTGCCCCAAAGCAAAGAATCTTGCTGTAGTGTTTACAAACTGCTCACCTTCAAATGTTAAACGGTTAAAAGTGGTCCAGCCTTTAATGATTCCTGAAAAAACTCTGAAAGATGGAGTTCTCTTTTGAAGGGATGGGTCTAGCTGTCAGAATGCTGGCCCATTGGTTCTTAAATTGTAGAGTATATATATTTCAGATCAGAGTTGCAAGACATTTCCAAAGTCTGGGCTCAGGATGATACATTGGTGGTTGGAGAGACTGGGTTCCAGGATCAAGCACCCTCAAGGAACCAAGATTCACCCAAACTTGAATGAGTTTTGAAACCAAGAATTAGGGCTTAGAACACAGAAACTAATTGTATAGGCTACACTAACAGAATCTTGAAAGGCAAACAGCATTTCTCCTTCCTCCTCTCTTGTACCAAAGAGAGTCAAGGCGGGGCAATGTTGAGTTACTTTCTCACATTTTCCTGTTTTCCCAGGCTAAATTCACATTTTACTAACAGCTGCTGCATATTTTCTCCAGGGTCATCTCTGTATTCCTCTACATCTGGCTAGCGTGTGTGTGTCTGTGTTTGAGTCAGTTTTTGCTTCTGGCGACTGCCTGGACAAGTCCTTGCAGTTTTCTTGGCAAGATTTCAGAGGTAGTTTGCCATTGCCTGCTTCCTAGAGCTGAGAGAGAGGGACTGGCCCAAGGTCACCCAGCCGGCTTTGTGCTTAAGGCAGGACAAGAACTCACAGTCCCCTGGTTTCTAGCCTGATGCCTTCACCACTGCACCAAACTGGCTACCACCCAAACCGTATATGGCATCTATACAATATAGAAAAGTCAGGATACCCCTGAAGACCAATTCCCATTTCATTTCATTCATATGTTCTCCATTATATACCTTTACATTATATGTTGCTTTGTTGCCAAGTGTTGGTCACCCCAAAATGCAGGTGACCACAGGATGGCAGCAAAGGGATGCAGTGGCCTTAACTCTCCGGTGCCATTGAGTGGTCGGCTGGAACATGACCAGGCAGTTAAGGGAGGGGGTCTCCTGCGTATCGCGCACCACACTGTCTCTCATTGCAGCAGCCCAGGATAGAGCTAATTCCTAATCCTGCTAAGGGTTTCATAGACTGCCCCCCCCACCAGTCCTTCTAATCCTAACACCAATTCCCTTCTTAAGCAGCAAGCGGGGGTGGGGGGCAAGGCTATTTCTCCCTAGTCTTCAGCATCTGTTAGATAAAGATACGGAGGGTGGGGGTGGGATGGCCCTGTGCTAAATGAGCTGTTATATTCCTAAACGGTGGGAGGGTTGAAGCACAGGGGGAGAGCCAACAAAGAGAATTTTGCTGCTTGGTGCCAACTCTAGCCTGGTGGTGGGGTTGTGTTACAGCTGGCAGTAGTTTGGTTTCTTCCAAAGGCAACCAGGAGCCCGGGGGTTGTCGTGGGCCAGGGGCAAGCAGACGCTGCTGTCCCATCCCTCCTTTGTTCCTGGGTCTCAGTGTTGGAGGGGGCTGAGTGGGTGTCTTCCCCTCCCTTTTTCATTTCCCTTTGGGTCCTACAGCCACAGAGAAAAATTGCCAAGGCGGCTTCAGGAAAACAACAGCTCCGGGGGATAACATGCCGGCCTGCAGTGGGCTGCCAATTTGCCACCGATTCCAGCAAGGGGGGAGAAGGGAGCACCTGCCCCAATTGTTCCTTTCCTTTTCCAGCTGATTCCAAGTGGAATTAACTGCAGAGTGGAATTCCTCTTCACGTTGAAGGGATACAGCTAGCAGAAGGGTGGATGGGGAGCTGGGTCCATGCTTGAATAAGAGGCCCACATTTTGTTTTCTGTTGTGCTAGGAATCGTTGCTTGGGTCTGGAGAGTGTGGCAGGTTGCTCTCCTGTGACGATCGGGTGGTGGAAATGTCAATCAAATCGTGGCAGTGCAGGGCCCCTCCTCCAAATGTATATTCCAGATGGAGGCGGGGCCTTGCATTGCCCTGCTTTGATTGGCCGTTCCACCCCCCTTCCCATCACACACCCTCCTCCCATCCTCCAGTTTCCAGTGGCGCCGAAGCACCGACTATGCACATACAAAGGGGATGTCAGTTCTCTCTGCCTCTTCCTGCGCACACCATTTAACCACAATGGGAAGGGTGGGGAGAACAGTACTTGGTCCCCAGGAGGTATGCTGAGACTGGAATTCCCAGTTCCCGACCAAGATAAACTGGGAATCCTGGAACTGGAAATTCTAGAACTTCACAAAGAGGTTGTGAAGACACAGATTAGATTTTTTTTTATCCCACCTTTATTTTTTTTATAAATAACTCAAGGCGGCAAACATACCGAATACTCCTTCCTCCCCCTATTTTCCCCACAACAACAACCCTGTGAGGTGAGTTGGGCTTAGAGAGACGGACCAGCCCAGAGTCACCCGGCCGGCTTTTCTGCCTAAGGCAAGACTAGAACTCGAAAATTGTGTGTCTCTTGCTTAATGACATTGTGACGCACATGATGCCATCTTGGCTTCTGTTGCGCAATCATGGCAGGGCAGTCCTCTTTCTAATAGCAGGAACGACGCAAGTTAAAAGAAGCAAGTGCTTAATTCTTCAGTGTTGTTATGAATCAGGCCAAGTGTGCTCCCGATGCACGCTTACTTAAAAGTCAGTCCCAATGAAATTGGTGCCGTTTTTCCCCTAAACCTTGCCCTTTGAAACACCTCCCCCCTGAGATCTGGCAGGCCCCGATCCTGGCTTTCCAAAAAGCTGTAAAGACCTGGTTTTTCCTACAACCTTTTGGCTTATTTTCCCACAAACCATGGGGTAGTGTGAAGCTGGAAGCTCTACAGTTTGTTTGAATATGTGAGGATGTCTTTGGGGCACCAGGAAGGGTTTCGTTGGTTGGTGGTGGTTTTTATGCCGTTTACTGTTTTTATTGCTTCGTGCTTGTGAGGCACCCTGGGCCATGCACATCTTTTAAATAAATAAATAATGAGCCAATTTAGTAAGCATGGTCCTGCTTATTAAAAACATTCTTTTTGAAGGAAACCTTCTTAGGACTACCCTCAGTGAATCTGCCAAGGAAAAAAAGAGGAGCTTGCTGCTGTAAAATCCCAATTTTGCAAGAGGCGTTTTAGTTGCATCTTTGGACTGTGGGCTATTTTCCTTTAAAGAACAAAATTCCAGCCCTTGCTTGGGCGTCTTCCCACTTACTTTCTGAGGGTAGTGCTGGGTGCAGTGACTGCTGTGGTTGTGTTGTTAGGCAATCATATCATCTTATTTTTATGCCATACTGGTAAGCAAATGGCTGCTTGCTGTTTGTAACAAAACACCTTTAAGAACACCGAGCCATAGAAAAATTCCCCTCCTTTTTAAACCCTCTGATGCATAAGCAATTCTTTTCAACTTTGGGGGTAAACAAGCCACAAACATGGTACTCATCCTTCATCATTTCCTAGCAATTTATTTTGATTCCTAGCATATTCCTAGCAATTATATTATTTATTTCAGCCTTTTCCACAAGAGTTTAGCATGGGTCTGCAGACCCTGCCCCTGAGCTTCACAACAACCCAAGGAGGTGTATGAGTTCAAAAAAGAGCAGTTTGTTCAAAGCTTCGTGTTTAATGGGCGATGTGAACCAGGTCTTTCCAGTCTTGTCTGAAACTGTAATTCTTATATCATATACTCCTGGAATTGTGGGGATAAAATCGAAGGGAGACCCCATAGGAACCGTGCAGAGTTCTCAGAGTGGAGAAATGGACAGGTATGAATATGACATACCTTGCTTTGGGATTATTTTTTTAGAATGAAAAAGCCGGATAGAATTAGAATGGAGTAAAATACATAAGTGAGTAAGCCAGGCTCATAAATAAAAATAGACCTCTTTTCTTTTAACTTATCCTACAGGAAGCCTTTTATTTGTAGAAGATTTGGGCACCTTTTCTCTTAAAAGCTTCTAGGCTCAATTCATGCTGCTGGTTATTACCTATAAAGGTCTATAGCAGTGTTTTTCAAACTTGGCGACTTGAAGATGTGTGGACTTCAAC